TTTGAAAAACATGTAAATATATTAAATAAGTTCTAAAATATACGTTTATATATAATAAATATGATAACATATTAGCCATATATGTGATCATTCTCATATATTTATTTACACATATAATTTACACATAAATATATATGTAAGTATATATTTACAATTAAACCATATTTATATATGGTTAAAAGTTCTCAGAAGGTTGGCATGCATATTTACATGTATGTTAAAGGACAGCTCACCACCAAAGCCAGGGATGATCCAGTCTGTTGTTCCTTTGGCTCACTTTAGAAATTGTAAGTGATCTTTTTGGGGCCAGAGAGATAGCTCAGTGTTTAAGAGCACTGACTGTTCTTCCAGAGGACCTGGGTTCAATTTCCAGCATCCACATGGCAGCTTGCAACTATCTGTAACACCAAGATCAGACAAATATGCAGTCAAAACACCAATACACATAGAAAATAAAAAAAGTGATCTTTTCTTCTGGAACCTAAACTATGGTGGTTTTTTTGTTGTTGTTGTTTTGTTTTGTTTTGTTTTTGTACTTACAAGTAAATCACCTTCAAAAATAAATCTATTGAAATCTTAGTTATTTAAATGACTCACAAGTAAGTCACGGTAAGTTAATATAAATAATAATATAGCCCAGACAGGGCATGAAATGAGTCTTTGAAATTTTGCTATTTTTATTAAAAATGGCATTTTCGTATTGGGGATTTTATAAATCTGTTCATTTCCCAACTCTGACTTTCCTCTTACCAGATCCGCTAAGCTCAGCTCTGTTCCTACGCACAGAAACACGACACGTAGAGAGGATGGCTTGAATGTATTTCTCTGCTTCATTTTAGGGTGGATGCTTCCTTCCAGATGCCCAAGGAAGAGTACAAAGATGCGGATGTTTCTGGACGGAATCGCTATAAATTCTTTGACAGGTAGAAAGTGAAGAGTAAGAAATGTTAGAGCCTGAGGCTCTGAGGAGCCTCTTTATGGTGGTGGCAGCAGTTGTCACTCCTTGTGGGTGCAGCGAGCCAGCCCTCATGGTCAATTCTTTGCTTGGATGTTACCTAATCTTCACAGTAGACGTACGAGAGGGCAGATGAGGTACCCATGGCAACGAAGGATGGATAGTTGATAGCAAAACGTCATCAAATGAAGTCAAATATCTTGAAAGCACCGGGTAGGAGAAATTGCTAAAAGTGTCCAAACAGACAATACTTGCAAATGTTCAAACCCAACCACAAGCTTTTACTTCATCAATGACTGCTACTCTTGTGAAAATCATATTCTCAAGGCAGACCAACCTCAAATGAGGATATCCCTGCCAATCGTGGGTTGGAAGATAATCTTGATGCCACATCTGAATTAACTTCCTTTCAAAGGTGATGTTCTGATCTACTTTATCACACATAAACATTTCCTCACGGAGATGTTCTCATACTTAAAAAAAACATCATTTTTTAAGAGAAATTTAATTTTTTAACTATAATAGATGTAAGTTCTTAGGCTCTCGGCAGGAGGGGAAGCTTCAAATGAAGGCCTTGGTCATCTCAGAAGGTCTTAAGAACTTGAGGAGTTGCTGGAGACTAACAGGTACCTGAAGCCCGAGTGTAGAGATTCTCCTGAGAACATGGCTGCCTAGGAGACACCAGCGTGCACAGTGAGGATGCTGAGTAACCAGCTGTGCCAGATCCTGGCTGGATCTCCTGGGCCAGAGCTGGGAATTTACGTTTTAAATAAGAGCATCTCCAGTGGTTTTGTATACACAAAACTTTAAATATTACTCATTTCTTTTTAGTTTATTCAAACCCATTGATTTTTTTAAAGGAATAAATATTTAAGTAAGGAGAAAGGTTGAGCCAGTACAAAAAAATCTCACACGTGTTTTCCTGTTCCTCCCAGGCCCTTCCTTCCATTTCTTCAACAGATGCCGCTCAATGTTGTCTTAGCACCAGCCAAGTAAGTGTTTTATTTCGCAACTCTCTCATCATTCACTTCATTTTTACTTCAGGAAGGCAGTTCTCAAGATCAGTGCTTTGCAACCTATAAACCACCGACCACCATAGTCAGGAGTCTACCTGATCCTTCTGGTGATTTTCTGTGTGCCTAGGTCTGAGTAATAGTGTTACATAGAATATTAAAGCTTAATGTTTTTTCTAGCGGGTCAAAGTATTAGACATATGTTGCCATCTTATATACCCTTTGTGTAATAAAGACCAATGGCCATGTCTATATGGATATAATGGTTATGACATGGAATAGATTTCTGATATTGATTTATGTGTGATACACATTGTCATCGACTGAGGACTGAGTGATTTATAAGTAATAGAAATTCATTTCTCATCTTTCTGGAGGCTAGGAAGTCTGAGATCAAAGTACCAGCATTGAGGGTCTGGTGAGGGCTCTCTTGCCCTGTCCTCATGTAGTGAAAGGAGGAAAGACTATGCTCACACATACTAAGAAGTGGGCCCTAAGTTGTTACCTCTAGCACCATTATAAGGTTCCAGTCTGCCCATGAAGGCTTATCACTTCCCAAGAGTTCCATCTTTGAGTCCCATCAAAAGAGGAATTAAGTTTTTCATCCATAACACACACACACACACACTTCACACGTCTTTTTTTGTTTCCCTGCCATACACACTTTTGGGGTGGCAATGCCTCAGTATTTTATCAGGAAGATGAATCAGTCATAAAATGGTTTTTTTGGGGGGAGGGGGGCTAGGGTTTTAAGAGTCCGTGAACTCCCACTAGCTTGTGTCAGCTGTCTCTGTGGTTTTCCCCATTATGATCTTGATACCCCTTGCTCATATGATCCCTCCTCCTTCTCTTCAACTGAACTCCAGGAGCTCAGCCCAGTGCTTGGCTGTGGGTCACTGCATCTGCTTCCGTCAGTTACTGGATGTAGGTTCTGTGATGGCGATTAGGGTGGTCACTAATCTGATTACAGGGGAAGGCCTGTTCAGATGCCCTCTCCACTATTGCTAGGAGTCTTAGCTGGGTTCATCTTTGTGGATTCCTGAGCATTTCCCTAGCACCAGATTTCTCCCTGACCCCATAATGGCTCCCTCTAACAAGATATCTCTTTCATTGCTCTTCCTCTCTGTCCCTCCCTCAACTCAGCCATCTTGAATCTTCATGTTCCCGTTCCCCATCCCCTCCCTTCTACCCCCTCCCAGTTGACCCAGGCCATCTTAACTATTTTTCCTTCCTGGGACTGTCTATGTGTGTTCTCCACTTGGTCCCCCTTTTTACCAAGTTTTTCTGGAATTGTGGATTATAGCCTGGTTATCCTTTGCTTTGCATCTAATATCCACTTATGAGTCAGTACATACTGTGCTTGTCTTTCTGGGTCTGGGTTACCTCACTCAGGATGTTTTTTTTTTTCTAGTTCTATCTATTTGCCTGCAAATTTTAAGATGTCATTGTTTTTTACTGCTGAGTGGTACTCCATTATGTAAATGCACCACATATATTTTCTTTATCCATTCTTTGGTTGGTGGGTATCTGGTTGTTTCCAGGTTCTGGCTATTAACCATGCTGCTATGAACATAGTTGAGCAAATATCCTTGTGGTATGATTGTGTGTCCTTTGGGTATTTGCCCAAGAGTGATATTGCTGGGTCTTGAGGTACATTGATTCCCAAATTTCTGAGAAACTGCCATAGTGATTTCCAAAATGCCTGTACAAGTTTGCACTTCCACTTGCGATGGAGTTGTCTCTCTGCGGCATAAGCTGTCATCGGCATTTTGATCTTAGACATTCTGACAGGTGTTCAGGGTCGTTTTGATTTGCATTTCCCTGATGGGTAAGGATGTTGGGCAATTCCTTAATGTCTTTAGGACATTTGAGATTCTTCTGTTGAGAATTTTGCTTAGATTGTACCCCATTTTTAAATTGAATTATTTGGCAATTTTAGTGTCTAGTTACTTGATGTCAGATGTGGGGTTGGCAAAGATCTTTTTTCCATTTTGTAGGCTGCCATTTGTCTTATTGACTGTAACCTTTGCCTTACAGCAGCTTCTCAGTTTCAGGGGTCCCATTTATTAATTGTGGCTCTCAAAGTC